GGTATTGCTATAGACTAAGAACTCAAATACAAAAAAAGTATGAAGAAAAAAAGTGTGTGGGTCTAGATTCAACACTTGTATTGTAGTACCCACATTTAGAATGAATGTGAACCACACTAATTTTCTTGATTTTCTTGATTTTTTTTTTGGTGTGTGTGACTGAGTTCTTGATCTGTAGCTAGTAAAGGAAGATTCAGATTTTTTTATTGACTGCGTTGAACCATGATTTTTTTTTTAATTTTTAATTTTATTATTTTATTTTGACAGGTATTAATTGCTAATATTGCGGAATATGCACCTATAGTCTATACTCCTACAGTTGGTCTTGTTTGCCAGAATTATAGTGGATTGTTTAGAAGGACCAGGGGGATGTATTTCAGTGCTGCTGATCGTGGGGAAATGATGTCAATGGTGTATAATTGGCCAGCTGATCAGGTCTGCAGTACTTGTGATTAACAATCTGCTTGTTAAAGTTTTATTATGATTGTTTGATGCATCATGTCGTAGATTGGAACCTTTCAAGCTTTTCTGGACATCAAACTTTTGACTCAGAATATCTGTTACTGTTTTGACTTGCAAGATTGTTCCATTACTCTTTTCCATCAATGAGGGACTGGGAATAACTTGGCTTTAAATTTTTTTTGGTTTCTCCCATTCTTCGAAGTGTTTCTAAAATATAACAGCTATTAGCTTCCGTGTCCTTTTCATTTTGGTTTCATATTTCCAATCTTGAATTTCACTTTTGCTAGATGCCTGAATGTTTCATTTTTGGCTTTCATCAGTTCTCATTTACTAGTTGCTTACCATGAAGTTCGCTATCTTTCAGTGTTAGCTCGCTGCAAACATTGTACTCTACTTACTGTACTTGATTTTTGATTGCTGCTCTAGAGTGTTGATACAGAACCTTTTGTTGTAGGTTGATATGATTGTTGTAACAGACGGAAGCAGAATATTGGGTCTCGGTGATCTTGGACTGCATGGTATTGGAATTGCAATTGGGAAGCTGGATTTATATGTTGCTGCTGCTGGGATAAATCCTCAAAGAGTACCTTCTTGCTTTACGTAGCTTTGTATTTTGCTCTGATATTTCAGATTTATATTTTTGTGAACAAATGCATGTAAAAACAATAATATGCATAACTCACTTTGAGTATGATTTGAACTGGTTTTATTTATGTTCCATAACCTAACCCATAGTAATATGAACCAGGCTGGCCACTCTATCTAGGCAGAGAACCACTGACTTGGTCGGATATGGTCATCCAACCAGTCAGAAGTGTATGCAGTTTGGGGACTTTAGACATAGTGGTTCACCAGCTGGGTTAGCCAACCACAGAATTAGATGCATCACTTTTGTGAGTTAATAAATACAAAAATAAAAAACCTTCTACTATCTACTGAACCCTTAGAATATGTATTTAAATATTGATGAAGCTCGTCTACAAGCTTTGAAGCTTGAGTAACCAGCTTAGGGTATGATGAGATATCATCCCTTATTTATAAATAAAGATTAGGGTTTACAAGGTAGACAATTACAATCCCTGAGTGCATAAAAAATGATTACAGACTCTTTCGGCTAATATAATATGCTAAGTGACTTTCGGTTCTACTGAACCCTTAGAATATGCATGTAAATATTGATGAAGCTCGTCTACAAGCTTGACAATACACTTTCTGGGGCAGAAATATGGCTAAGCAACTTGGGCTCAGCCTATGGTGGCTCATTAAAGCTGGCTGTTACAAGAAACGGAGTAGCACAATGCTCTTCCTCATGTATTTGCTAAGTGAAATTGGTTGGTGATTTTAACAGAATGCAATCAGTGGTTAAGTTGATAGAGGCACCTTTTGGAGACAATGGTTACATATCAGACATCTCATTGATGTTAAGAAGTGCCCTATATTCTCTTATTTAGGACAATTGTCATACTATACATAAAGCCAAAACCCCTTTATGGTGTGTACCCATATTTGAAGCTGTCATACCTTTTTCCTTTACTAAAATTGTCTAAAACTGCTTTATGCTTCATAGCATATACCTATTTGCATCCAACAGGTCTTTTGCTCTTAGGTAACTCAGTTAATTCTCAAGTGTCATTCTTACAAAGTGCTTTCATTTCTTCTATCATGGCATGTTTTTCTGGGGCGGAAATATGGCTAAGCAACTTGGGCTCAGCCTAAGGTGGCTCATTAAAGCTGGCTGTTACAAGAAACGGAGTAGTACAATGCTCTTTCTCATGTATTTGCTAAGTGAAATTGGTCGGTGATTTTAACAGAATGCAATCAGTGGTTAAGTTGATAGAGGCACCTTTTGGAGACAATGGTTACATATCAGACATCTCATTGATGTTAAGAAGTGCCCTATATTCTCTTATTTAGGACAATTGTCATACTATACATAAAGCCAAAACCCCTTTATGGTGTGTACCCATATTTGAAGCTGTCATACCTTTTTCCTTTACTAAAATTGTCTACAACCGCTTTATACTTCATAGCATATACCTATTTGCATCCAACAGGTCTTTTGCCCTTAGGTAACTCAGTTAATTCTCAAGTGTCATTCTTACAAAATGCTTTCATTTCTTCTATCATGGCATGTTTTCACTTAGGGGTAGCAAAAGCATCTTCAAAATGATTAGGTATACTAATAGAAGAAACATTGGACACACATGCTCTATAAGAAGGAGACAAATTAGAATAGGACACAAAGTTAGAAATGAGATGTTTAGTACAAGACCTCACACCCTTTCGTTGGCCAATAGGAATATCAAGATCACGATACTCAGGAGGAATAAGGGTTTCAAAGTTACCTGGATTCTCATCATTAGAAGAAGAAGAAGATGGCAGTGGATGGTCAAAAGTGGTCTCTTGTATCCAAGTAACTTTCTGTCTGTCTTTGTACTTGACATAGACTTTTCCTTTCTTCAATTCATTAGGTTCTGTATTTTCACCCTCTGTTATCAAAATCTTACAATTCGCGATTCGATTTGCAATTTTTGCAAAATTGATACGAATCTATGGGTAAATTTATTTTGAAAGTGAATCTATAGTGAATCGCACGATTCATAATCGATTCACTTTTTACGATTCGTACGATTCTTGAAACTATCGTGTCTGACATATTTTTGACTATTTTTTTCTCTATCTTTTTAATAAAAATGATATGATACAACTTCTAATAGCGTTTAGTATCAAAATAACCAATATATATACATGATTTGTTATTATTTAGTGATCATGGAGTTTTTTTATGGGATTCAATTAGATTCAGTCAGACCCAACATATTTTTAATCATTTTTTTTTCTTAAAAAATCATAATATATCTTCTAAAAATGTTTAAGATTAAAGTAACTCACACCATGAATTATCTATTGCTATTTTATTAAATTAAATATAATTGAATATTACATGGGTAAGATTAGTTACACCTTTTAAAAATGTTTTAGGGGAAATACAGAGAGAATAAATTGTATGTATTATGATTGTTAGTAATGTTTACAATGATTCATGATTCCTATATATAGAAGAGGGTGAGTGTGTAGTAGGTAAGAAGTAGGTGAAGTGAAGGTGGTAGTGGTGTAGTGGGTTAGGTTTAGTGGAGTAGGTGAGGTGGTAGTGGTGTAGTGGGTTAGGTTTAGTGGAGTAGGTTTAAGTGGGTGTAGTGGGTTAGGTTTAGTGGAGTAGGTTTAAGTGGGTGAAGTAGGTGATAGGTTTTAACACTTTTAAAAATGTTTTAGGGTTTAAAATAAAAGATCATAAATAATTCTTTCTTATTATTTGGTTATTATTACTTGAAAAAGTATGTATGCTTATTGCCTAAATATTGACATTATTGTTAAATTATTATTATTTTGAAAATTGAGAGTTTGTTTTTATTAAGAATGGTTGATAAGAAATATCTAAAAAAAGAAAAAGGTAAGATGGTGATCTTATATAGGAACCTTTGTTAATTTCTTACCTATTAAACCATGTGACCATCATTCAAAACAATATTTTCATTGATTTAAATCTAAATATTTCATATTTATAAGATATATTTAACATCTAAGTATGCAGATATATTTTTCTAAGTAATTTAGAAGAAGTGATTGAATCTTTACGATTCACAATTCGATTCGATTTGCGATTCAGTACGAAGTCATTTCGATTCATGATTCGAATCTTGAGTTGACAACTATGTTTCCACCATTAGTAGCTAGGTCATATGCTGTGTTCTTAACCACTGGGGATGAGCTAGGAACTGATACAGACCCAGGAATCCCTTCACACCAAGGCTCTCCCTGAAGGGAGGACTGGGACAAGAAATATGGCTGTGACTCAAAGAATGTGACATCCATGGATACAAACCACTTACGAGATGGAGGATGGCAACACTTATAATCCTTTTGAGTAGGAGAGTAACCTAGAAAGACACATTTTAGAGAGTGGGGATCAAATTTATCACGAGAAGAAGCATGATTGTGGACAAAATAGACACAACCAAAGATTTTAGGAGGAATTGAGAATATAGACTCAAAACCTAAGAAAACCTGGAGAGGAGACTTTTTGTGCAATACTTGGGTTGGGAGATGGTTGATGACGTAGGCTGCAATGAGAACTGCGTCCCTCGAGTAAGACCTAGGCATATGCGTTGAAAAAGACATGCAGTGAGCTATATCAAGAAGATGATGGTTTTTTCGTTCCGTGACTCCATTTTGTTGAGAGGTGTTAGTGCAAGAAGTCTGATGAATAATGCCATGGGTAGAAAAATAGCTTGCTAGACCAGAATCAATATACTCACCCCTATTATCAGAACGCAATATTTTGACAGCTGCCCAAATTGAGTACATATCATTTTATGAAAATTACGAAATACAGAAAAAACCTCACTTTTGTCTTTCATAAGATACACCAAAGTAGTATGAGAAAAATCATCGATAAAAGTAACAAACCATCTATGACCTTTTAAAGATACAACATGAGAGGGACCCCAAACATCAGAGTAAATTAGGAAAAAAGGTACTAAACTTTTATTAAAGCTTAAGCGACAAAATTCACAATGAAACTCAGAGACATTTATTGTTTGTAAAAACAGAAGGAAATAAATGCTTAAGTAATAGAAACGATGAGTGCCTAAGACGCTAATGCCACATCCACAGGTCTTTCTTTGTGGTTGGAAACTTGATAGAATGACATGCCAACTAGTCTGCCCGATTCAGGATATAGACCATGTTTTGCTCTACCACTGCCAATCGTCTTTCTTGTGATGAGGTCTTGAAACAGACAATGGTCAGGAAAGAAAGTCACACTACAATTCAGGTCATGAGTAAGATGATTCAATGATGAAAGATTAACGGAGAAATCAGGAACATGCAAAACAAAAGATAATGGTAGAGAAGGAGTGGCATGGATTAAATCTTTCCCAAAAATAGAAGAAACAGTACCATCAGCAATCCTAACTTTGTTTTGTCTTTAAGAAGGCTTATATTCCAAGAATAGATCAGAAGACCCAGACATATGATCTAAGGCCCCATAATCAATAATCTAAGGTAAAGACTTATGAGATAGAAAAGCACTTGGAGAAGCGGCTAAGTTACTTGAGTAGGCAGAAGACGAGGAGTATGTACCGAACGAAGTAGTAGAAGAGCGATAGTAGGTGGTGCAAAACATTTTCTAACTCAGAAGAAGACAGACCAGATATATCACCGCTAAGAGGAACAATTGAAGGGGTGTCGGGAGTATCCACCACACTAGTATGATGTGCACATTAGTTAAACCCATGTCCTCGAGATCGCCCGGAGTGACCCCCAAGACTACTAGATCGGTCACCACGACCACTAGAAGGAACCCCATGAAGCTTCCAACAAGTCTCACGGGTATGTCTCGGTTGACGGCAATAATCACATAACAGTGTATCTTTCTTTGAAGGACTCGGTGCAGTATGAGATAGGCCAATACCATCCCTAGGAGGAGCAGAAAGTAAGGCTGAACGCTCTGCAGAAGTAGGTGGGAGCATAGTAGAACGACGGCTCTCCTCATTTTGTACGTAAGCAAAGGCCTCCTGAAGAGAGAGAAGAATATTCATACCAAGGACACGACTCCGAACATGATCAAACTCTAAGTTGAGACATTCCAGAAATTTGAAGACCTTTTCCTGTTCAATAAACTTTCGGCAACCCACCGAATCAGTTGTGTAGGCAGGCTTATAATCCTGTAGATGATTAAGACGTTTCCAGCCATTATTGAGAAAGTGAAATTCTGAAGGATAGTGATCTTCCCCTGTACTGAGTGCTCAATAGAATGGCACAACTCAAAAGTTGTGAGAAATTCCCCTTCTGAGAATAGGTAGTAGCCACAACATCCCAAATATCTTGAGCGGTTTCCATAGACAAGTAGCCTTCTTCAATATCTGGTCCATAGAATGAATGAGTGAACCTATAATTAAAGAATTGTTAATCTCTCATTGATCATAACCAGGATCAGTGATGCTTGGGGCCTTGATCCTCTCATCAACATAACCCATCTTCCCTCTACTCTTCAAGAAAAGTGTTAGACACTCTGACTAAGCAAGATAGTTTTGACCATTAAACAAAGATGTGGTGTCATAATGGGACTCTCCTTATAAGTGGCTGAGAAGTAGTGGTGGATTCACTAGTAAGGTCAGCCATTTATATTCTGCAAACTGAATAACAACCTACACTAATCATAATAACTGGAAGAGGGACTAAAAAAACAGGACTAAGCAATATCAATCACAGACGATGATAGGAGAATACCAATCAGTCAAAGCTGGGTACTGGGGTCATATAAAGACCCTAAAGAACAAATAAAACTAAGAGAAAGAAAGCTCCAATGAAAACAGTGGCTAAACTAATCTCAGAGAAGAGAAAACCTTGCGTGAAGTGGAGAACCAAAGTGCAGTGGAGCCAATTAATGCATACAGTCGACCAAGTGAAGGTGTCGACCCAAGAGAAGAAGGAACCAAGTCAGAGAAGTGTCACGAAGTAGTCCACAGAATGATTGATGATGTGTGACCCTCAGATAGTCATTAGCGAGAGGCGAAAGGAATAGAAAGGCTAGGGGAAGTGCCGAACAAGCAGAAAGAGGCTGTCGGCTGACATTGGGTGACCTCTGGCTGCTGTCGGTGATGAGGAGTGAATGTCAGCAGTCTCAGAGAGGTGAGAGGATTGCCGAAATAGGGTAGCTAATGGTCGGTTGGGGATGGGTGTGTGTAGAATATGAGATGGTAACCCTAAAGCTCTGATACCATGTTTGTTAAGAGAGAACAAAACTTAGGAATGATTAGACAATTATCCCCTTTTATATAGATAATAGGTAGCTTACAATGGAAGTCTTGAAGGCACAAATATGGAAATAATAGAATAAGGAAATAATAGCTAATAGAACAATCAATACACAATCACGCAACATATTATTCTAACAACTCTCTCTCTCTCATGTGTGCCTGTGCCCTGCCTGCTATGTGCATTTGTGGCTCTGTTTCTTGTCAGTTCTTTATCTTCCTCAAGCCACAAGGGATTCTTTAACTGTTGCATTATGTTGTATGCTTCCATTTTCAGCAGTGAGAATACTGTGTTGTTGGATTCCTTTTCAGTGAAAATGGATATTTTAAGTTCATAAGTTTTACACTATTCCCATATGACCTGCTATCTATATGTAAGAAATAGAATTTTAGGAGGCATAGATGAAATATGAATTCAACTTGGCAGAAGTTAAAGTTAAATTGCTATATATTGGCATCATTCTTCATTAGTTTGCTGTTCTCTATCTCGTTTCTTGACTGAATGAATTTAGGTCTGATATTTACAAAACGGTATCTGCTGCTGAATTTCTTTCCCTCTCAAACTCTTTACCGGTGTAATTTTTACCATTTTTTTTCCTGTTTTGTTTTTCCTTTCAACAGGTACTTCCTATCATGATTGATGTTGGAACTAACAATGAAAAGCTTCTCAAAGATCCCTTGTGTAAGAATTTCTTTATGGGAACACCATGCACATATTTTTCTCTTATTATTTATTATATAAACAGCTTTTGATTGTCTCTGCTTGGTACTTTGAAGTTGGAATTGACTTGATATTGTTCGGTAAAACATAAATGTTCACTTCTGTATTCAAAGAAGACTGCAGTTTCTTCCTTTTCTCACTCACTGTCAAATGTCTTGTGGTATATGAGCAATTGAGATCAAATACAAGAAGTAATTGTTAGTTTAGTATTTGTGCTTCTACCTAAGTACACATGCAATGCATGTGAGTCAATTTCCTTTCTTAATTTTTTTTGTTTATAATGTTACAATTTATGATTTAATACCATGAAAATCAATGTGTGCTAGTACATAATTGATGAATAATAAACCAATATACTCCTTTCTTAACTTTGAAGAACAAGTGTTTGCATGGTGAGAGAGTCACTGGCGAGTGCTATTAATTATTGGATAACCAAAGATGAAGTGCGATATAAGTGTCCACTAACTTTAGTATTTACATGTCAAACCATTTAGGTTTACAGAGCATGGGATTCTCAGGAGTCATTTTCTTAGAGAAACACATAAGAAACACGATCCGCTTCACAAAATATTCTGAACAGTGATTTTTCCTTCTCATCTGTGTGCCTTCAAAGAATTTCCGTGAATGCTCAAATGATGGGCTTTGTGATCATGTCTAAGCATTTATCACTTGAGCTTATTCTTATTGCTATAATTGTTTGGTTTTCTCTTGATCTGCTTGTATCTGGGCCATTAGTGGTTGCTATGAAGCCTCATTTCCATTCGTGACACCTATCTCATCTCTGATGTCAAATTGTCAACCAGCATGGCCTAGTCTTGATTGTTGTTTTGGGGTTGAATAGTTCAGAATGATGCAGTAGGCCATAAATATATATATTTTTTTGTCATCATGAAAATATCTATATTTACAGTGGTCAAGGTTGAATGAAGCTGATATACTGGATAATTCCTGTCAATCTGTATTAGGAAAATAAAAAAATAAAAGATGGTTGTGTTGTATTTGACGCAAGTATCTATACTGGAGTCTTGGGAAGCTCTTGCTTACATTGATGACATATATTGGAATGTCTTATCACATAAAAGGTTACAAACTACAAAGTCTAGAGATCATATTTGTACTTATGTATAGATGAATAATTCTTCTTACTATTAACTGAGGGAAAACATACAAAATATATAGAGTACAAAGGACACTAATTTAGGGAACTAATTCTACATGAAATCAAGAAACAATCGTTAAAAGTTAGGGCCTAACTAACATCAGTTATAATAGGAAACAAATACAAAGTATACAGGCTGTACAATCTTAGTTTAAAGGGATGTAAATTCCCTGTTCACCAAGTCAACCAAATCCGTAAGGATTCGCTGACACTCCCCCTCAAGCTGGTGAATAAATGTTGTCCATTCCCAGCTTGCTCATAATATGTTGAAATGAGTGACTCGGTAGTCCTTTGGTGAAGATGTCCGCAAGTTACCCATTCGTTGAGACATAAGGAGTACAAATTAAGCCACTATCCATTTTTTCCTTGATGAAGTGTCGATCTACTTCCACGTGTTTTGTGCGATCCTGTTGCACTGGATTATGAGATATATTGATTGCAGACTTGTTGTCGTAGTATAGCTTTATGCTTCCTTCCCACTTGACTCCAAAGTCTTCTAAGATAATCTTTAGCCATAATAGTTCGCAAATTCCATATGCCATAGCTCTGAATTCTGCTTTACCGCTTGATCTAGCCATTACAACCAAGGTTGTCAAGATCGCGATCCGTATCGTAGGATCGTACGATCCTACGATCCAATACGCACTATTCGATCTGACTTGTGCTTTGGATCGACCCCAAATTAGGATCGTGGAAGCATCGTTGGGATTGTATTTGGATTGTGACTCCATGCGATTCAGATTTGAAGGGTTTTTTGGCAACTTAAAAGCAAAGAATCTTTTGTCGGGAGCAAAAAAGACAGGGAAGCAGAGAAGTTGAGCTGCGATTAGGCCAATACAAATTGGGGAAAGAGAAATTAGACATCAAATTTCAGAAATTGCAACACACAAACTAGGTACGCTTCTTCTTCTTCTTCGTTTCTTCTTCTTCTTTGCTGCTAGTCTTCTTCTTTGCTGCTCTTCTTTTTCTATTTCTTCGCTGATCTTCTTCCTTTCTCTTCGCTGTTGTTCTTCGATCTTCTCTGTGGTTCGAATCTTGTCTTTTTTTCTTTCTTCACTGCTCTGCTTCCTTTCTCTTCGTTGCTCTCATTTTTTTTACTTCGCTGCTCTGCTTTCTTTCTCTTCTTCCTTTTTGCTTTAGTATATATTATATATACCGAATCACATTTTTTTTTTTTGCTCTTATTTTTTGTTTGTTTCGGTAAATTATATTATATTATATATATTGTATATTTTTAGTCTTTGATTTGTTCTTTGTTTGTTTAGTTTGTCTTGTTTTCATTAAGAAATAATGACAATAGTGTGCAGGTGTTGGTATTTGCTTTTATTATGTTTTTGACTTCTTTTTTTGAAAAAAAATGTTTGAATGCTACCTTGAATTGCTATATTTCTTTTTTTTGGGGGCTCATTCTATATATATTTTGATAGTATTACTTAGTCATATAAAAATTATTGCATTTTTTTTATCAATTTAGTAGGATCTTATGATCCTCGATCCGATCCTATGATCCAATTCGACAGACTCCCAAAACGATCCTCTGTAGGATCCCGATCTTAACAACCTTGACTACAACCTGTTTTTTGCTTCTCCAAGCCACCAAATTTCCTCCTAAGAAGGTACAATAACCAGATGTTGACCTGCGGTCCACTACTAATCCAGCCCAATTTGCATCCGTGTAGGCTTCTAGACTTAGTTCCTCATTATTTTTGAAGAGGACGCCTTTCGCTGGGGTAGATTTCAAGTATTGTAGGATTCGGTGAATAGCTTCCAGGTGGGAATCCTTTGGAGAGTGCATGAATTGGCTGACCACACTCACGGCATAGGCAATGTCAAGTCTTGTGTGGGACAAGTAAATGGGTTTCCCAACTAACCTTTGATATCTCCCTGTGTCTAACATCATGTTGTCTATAGCTTCTCCTAGTTTGTGATTCTGCTCAATAGGAGTGTCTGAGGGCTTGCAGCCAAGCATACCTATCTCCTTAAGGAGATTAAGTATATATTTCTGTTGGGAAATAAAGATGCCATTTCTAGAGTATGTTACTTCAATTCCCAAGAAATATTTCGGCTGTGTTTGGAACGATTTCCAAACTATGATTCTACCTACACATTCTAATATGATGTTTGGATAGGATGTTCAAGTTATAGTTCCACAACATTTAGAAAACTCTGTGTAAGGCACAATTTTCTAATTTTTTTTTTTTTGAAACTTGGCCTAACCGGTCATCCCACTGGATGTCCTACCAGACGTCTCACCGGTTGTTCGGCCAGTTGACCGGAACAGTGTAAATATATGTATATATACTTTTGTTTTTGCAATTGACATATGTTAATTTTTATATATTCGAAAAAAATATTTTCCGAATTTTTAAAATTTTTTTATGTGCTTTAATAAAATTTTGAGTTGTATGTTTGGTTATGAGCTGTAAGTTTTTGTATCAAATATCATATGTCACATCAAAAATTCCCCACTCAATTCAAAACTCTTTTCGAAACTCTTTCACCAAACAAATTTTTCACATTCAAATCATAATTCCAAAACTCACAAACTCAAAATATAACACCTACTCTTAAATCATGTTCAGAAAGCTCTACTAAACGCAACCTTCAGTTTTCCAAATTCTTTAGCCAACTGCTTCCTAAGTTTCTCAATTTTTTCAAGGTCATCTCCAGTTACAAAAATGTCATCAACATAAACAATCAAGACTGTAACTTTTCCAATTTTCAATCGTTTGATGAAGAATGTATGGTCGCCTTGGCTTTGCTTGAAACCCATGTTCTTCATTGCACTGGTAAATCTCCCAAAGCATGCTCTAGGGGACTATTTTAGCCCATATAGCGCTTTCTTCAACCTGCACACTCTATTGCCTTTAAAGTTTTCGGTGAAACCCAGAGGTGCCTCCATGTAGACTTCTTCCTCTAAATCACCATGCAAAAATGCATTCTTAACATCAAATTGCTGCAAGGACCATCCAAGATTAGCTTCTAAAGGTAATAGTACTCTAATAGTGTTCATTTTTGCAATTGGGGCAAATGTCTCCTGATAGTCTACTCTTTATATCTCACCAAGATTCCATCAGCTCTATACTTCATAGTAAACACCCATTTACACCCTATTAGTTTCTTCCCTTTTGGCTACTCAACTATTTCCTATGTATCATTTTTTTATAGTGCTCTCATTTCCTCACTCATGGCTTTTTTCCATTTCTCATCCCTAAATTCCTCTTGGATTGTTTGTGGAATTTTAATGGTGAGCAAATTTGTGAGAAATGCTCTATGTAGTGGAGAGAGTCTGTCAAAGGAGGTAGAGTTTGCTATGGAGTGTTGAGTGCATTTCCGTGTTTCTTTCCTAAGGGCAATTGGTAAATAAAGGTTTGTAAACTCAGGTTGTGAAGCAAGAGGATTTTCAAGACCTGTTACATGTTCGGATTCTTGGCTTGCATCGGTTGAGGTTCAAGCTTTTTCTTTCTTGAATACACTTGTAATGGCAAGGTAGTAACATCACTACCTGTTTTCTCATCAGGAGTTTTTTCGGTTTTATCTGGACACAAGGATGATGTTTCTGCTAGATAAAGAAAACGGGCAGGAAGAGAACCAGTAGGAGGAGTGAGTGTTTTAGGAGCTGAAATATCGAGATTATCAAAATCGAGACTGAAATTAAACTTGTCTTCTAATAAATGCTCTCCCTAAAGATAAGTTTCACCAAAAAATGACTTCTTTCTCAGCAAAGATCATATCTTTAGAGATGAATTTTTTTGAATTAGGATGATAGCATTTATACCGCTTTTTTGTGGAGGAATAACCA